TTTGAATTTCATGACCCGTGAAATGTACCCATTCGCCGGTACCTACAATTGTGATCTGCAGTTTGTGATGTTTTTCTGGATATAAGAAGGACATAATTGCCTAAGGTTCTATCAGAGCTTTTTACAAAATTTTGTCTTGCGCACGAATTCTGGTGGGTTGAAATGATTACTATTTGTGCTCAACTTCTTGATATTTTAAAAGATTCCAGTGATAAAATGGAAAAAGTGGATCGTTAGACCCTGTGGACTTTGTTTTTAGCACGCTCAGGAGCTTCATTTGGAAATAATAAAAAATTTAAACGTAATCGCTAATCGAAATTCGACTCTGTTATTATAAAAATTACTGGTATGCACCCGCAGTCATCCTTTCCTCTTTTAAAGTAGCGCCGACGAGCGTCTAAGGCCAGCCCACCCTCGTTTCCTTTTCACCCCCCGTTACCTCAGCAGATGGTGCTCGTGATTGTAGGAGCCCCGTTAACTTCTTCGACATCATCAGGTTTACAAGAGACCTTATCCATCCCAACGTCAGAGCACACAGCCTGATACTAATCATACTCAAACGAGAAAAAGTTTCATAGTTCAAAAATTAGCGGCAGCATTGGATACGAGTATTTGGTTGATCTAACTCTCTCTATCTTCCTCATACACTTTAAATACGAACGATCAATGATTACCTGCCGATACTGTAGATGAAAGTAAGAACAACTAGCTCAATCCTCGTGAGTGTGTAGAGCAAGTTCAACCTTTATCAGAAGACATTGAACGAATACTGCCCGATCGCAGAGATATCAAGAAACTTTAAAACGGCTTCCGAGCTAATCTTGGGCGTGCAAAAACTTTTCTTGGAACGTTACTTCGAGGATACAGCGGTTCATTTAACAGCGCTAGTCGACCGACGTGGGAGTGCAATTTACCGCCATCTGGTGTCTGGCAGTTTACTAGCCACGTACACAGAACGGTAGTAATTGTTGTCCAGAACGCGCGGCTAACTTGATTTCGATTGTTTATTTCGGCCGGCTCTCTTAATACGCCCTAAAGCTCGAGGAATTGTCGAAAATTTATTAAACGGACGTGTGAACTGCAACGGCACTCCTGCAGATTGCCATCTGGAAGGCGTTGCAGAATCAGATGCGTCTTTGAAAGGAATGAAGCATCCCACAAACCGGCGCGAAATAATCGCGGCGAAGTATTCGCAACGAAATTAAGAGCGAAATTCGCAATCTGTTTCGCCTGTTTATTCATACCAAAGCGTCTTGTTCGCTCCGCGAACGTGAAGGTTTCGACAGGTTGCGTACATTTTATTTTTGCCTTTTGCAATGAGCTCGTCTTCAGAAGAAGAGGAGGCACTTCTATTTCTTGCTTTAGAAGAGGAACAAAATGCACGGTAAGTTATATTTATTTAACGCCATTTGATAGTTGGGTATGTATTAAGTTTAACGAAGTACATAAAACAAATATTTTCAATTTTGTTTAGGAAACGAAGGAAGTGGGTACATGATATTAACTTGGAACGAAATAAATTTGGGGAATACCATACCTTGATGCCACAACTTCGGGATCGTGAAATAAATATTTTATTGTAATAATTGGACTACATGTTGCCACTAGGATTAAATATTATATTGCTAAATAATTCGAGGCAGAATTTGCCTCCTCTGTTGGGTATATTATTGGAGTAAACCCAGTGCCGCTTGGGAAGGACGACATACTACTATCATACATACTTGCAGAATTCTGGGTAGACGCTGAAGACATTTCTTCAATATGTTCAAATTCTTCGTGCGCTATTAATTCGGCTATTTTTAGTTTTATTCGGGCTTGACGCTTTAAGGGAAATGTTTTCACAGTCTGTGCATGTGCCAAGAAAAGTGAATCAATGGCCGCGTTCTCTTTTTTAGGTTTTTTACCTTCAAAATAATTAATGAGCTGTTGTACAGACGAAGATGGTGGTTCATAGCGTTTTCTGCTCGTTTTATATTTTGGTGTAGTTGCAGTCTGCGGAAAGGTGTGCCCTGGAGTAGTCACTGCTGTAGTGTTCAATGAAGAAGGTGGTGCTGTCTGTGTTGCCGAGGCGTTCTGTGCATCTTCTGCATCTACATCAGCATTTTCATCTTCTCCATGGCCGCGGTCTTCCAAATTTTCGATTTCTACATTTCCAGCCCTTTCCTGATATATATTTGAGTTAAATTCGGCAGTCTCATAATGTATGACGTCAATATCTTTCACATTAGACGACGTTTTGGCAAATGCCAAAAAAGGACGGAAAAATTCCATGTAGTCAGCCCACTGCCATTTTTTTATGTTGCCCACTGCTTGGCCGGTCTTTGGTTTGGTAGATTTTATATATTTTGCAAATGTGTCTCTGATATTCTTCCACCTTTTTTTTACTTCATCACCTAGAAACGATTTTTTTTATAGATTCCTTGCCACTGGTGACACCTTCTATACCATTGCGCATAGCTTTCGAGTTGGCTTTACAACAGTGAGTGCAATCGTAACCGAAGTCTGTGAAGCGATATGCAGACATATGGAGCATATATATTTACCAGAACCAACAGAGAATATATGGAAAAAATGTGCTGAAGAATTTGAAAATAGATGGGGATTTCCCAATTGCATTGGCAGCGTGGACGGTAAACATGTAACAATCAAGAGACCTAACAACAGTGGCTCCAATTACTGGTGCTATTTACATAAATATTCAATAGTACTTATGGTCATTGTTGGCCCGGACTATAAATTTATATGTGTTGATATTGGTGGTTTCGGAAAAAATAGTGATGGGGGTATTTTCGAAACCTCAAACATGGGAAAACGATTTGAACAAAATTTAATGAGTGTCCCTGCACCTAGATTTCTCCCTGGGCAAAATGAAATCTGCTCGTACGTCTTAATTGGTGATGAAGCATTTGCTTCAAAACCATACCTTATGAGACCATTTCCTTATAAGCAGACTTTAACAGACGTCAGAAAAGAGAAATACAATGTAAGACTTTGTCAAGCTAGAAGGGTCGTGGAAAATGCGTTTGGTATTTTGTCTCAAAAATGGCGAATATTTTACAGGCCATTAGAAACTAAAGTAGATACTACTATTCTAATTGTACGTACGGCATCTGTTTTACACAATTTTTTACGAAGTAAAGGTGGCGATGACAAATATTTTCAATTCTTAGAAGGCTAGCATTTTCTACTCGTGACAAATTCGTAAATTATTTTACTTCTGATATGCCTATGCCCAATATATACATTAGAATGTTCGTTTTCACATTTGTGTAGACTGTAAATTATTTAACAAGTTAATAAAAAATATTAGGTACATACAATTTGTATTTAATTCTTTTCCTATTTCCATCCAAATCTTGTCTTTCTTTCTCACATTCCTGTATTCATCGTTCGACAAATCATACAAACAAGGATACTTTTTCACTATTTCTATCAATAATTCCGTTTTTGCCATTGCGAATTTTTGAAGAACGGCGTCAAAAACGCGGTCAAAGGCGAACCGAAATACGCCGCGATAAAAACGCTAGAACAATCGCATTCGCTTCGCACAAGTCTGAGCCTGTCCGTAAACCGCCGCGTTTTAATCTGATCGCGAATTCATCGCCGCGAAATTTTCGCAGCCAAAGCGAATATTTCGCGCCGGTTTGTGGGATGCTTAAATATCGTAATTTGTACGACCCTATATGCCGTTGCAAAAATATACTATTGCGATTTTTAACACGCTTTTCTTCTAAGCTTGCCCTGTATGTATACTAAGTGACATATAAATGCGAACACCCAGTTCAAATGGTTTTATTTTAATAAAATTTTGTATAAGTACTTAATGAAGCATAATAAGTAAATGATAAAAATTTCAAAATGATTGCACTGCTTTAAAGCCCTTTGACCTTTAATAATGTGTGGATGCACCCTGATGTGCTACGCATTCTCCAACGCGCCTAGGCATGCTTCTGATCAGGTGGTCAATGTCCTCCTGTGGTATCTCATTCCAGGCAACCACCAACTCCTCTCGAAGTGCTTCTAGAGTCTGAGGAGGACGTTGCAAATTGAGCAATCTCCTACCCATCATATCCCACACGTGCTCAATTGGGGATAAGTCGGGAGATCTTGGTGGCCATGGTAACAATGTGACATCATTATGTTGAAAGAAGTCTATTGTGACTCTTGCAACATGTGGTCGGGCATTATCTTGTTGGAAAGTTGGATCTGCCAGGGTGTCAAGATAGGGTAAAAGATGGGGTTCTAGAACTTCGTGGATATAACGCTGCGCGTTCATGTTACCTCTGATGAAGATTAAAGGTGACCTGGAACCATAAGCTAGAGCACCCCAAACCATAACTCCAACAGTGTGATGAACATGTCTTTCAACAAAAAACTGTGGATTCCTCCTTTCACCACGTCGCCTTCTAACACACTTCGCATGCCAATAGGTGTTCCGTGTTCTGCAAACCATTCATTTGCAATGGACCTGGTAGTGGAGAAACGGTCCCTTAAGGCCAATAATCTTAGGCGGCGATCTTCACGGTCTGTTGTTCTACGGCGGCGTCCAGTGCCCCTTGCTCTTTGCGTACGGCCTTCTCGAAGCCATGCCTGACAACACCTAACCACAGTATCTACACTTCTTTGCACTCTAACTGCAATTGCCCGAAAAGAAAGTCCAGCTTCCCGAAGTCCCACTATACGGCCCTTATCAAACTCACTAAGTTGACGAAATCGTACAGGTTATCCGTACTCTAGGCATCGTAACCGATCGTAAAGGATGTCAAGAACCAAAATCCGCCAACGTTGATTCTTTACTGCGGCTGAAGTATTTATTTTAGAGCGTTAGTGAATTAAAAAAATCAGTATAAAAACCGGAATGTCCTACTGATAAGGCTGAAAATTTTTTCACTTGTTATTTACATTCACCAACTTTTATTAAAATAAAACCATTTAAACTGCGTGTTTTTGGTTTTTTTAAACTATTATTCATTACAAAACAGACGGAACCAACTTACAGTGCACGTGCAGCATCATCCTCTTGCTAACAGTAGGCGGCACGCCATTAGCAGCTATACACAGGTAAGCGCCCATCTCGGACCTAGTGATCTTCGACAACGTGAGCACCTCGCCCTCTACCGAATTCATCCTCTCCACTTTATCAGGTGCGGTCCTCACGATGATCTGAGCGCCGTCTTCTCGCCGCCACACTATCCGAGGCTTGGGGTACCCTCTGGCTCTGCAGATCAGCTTGGCGGACCCGCCTTCCGGCACCATCATGTCGCCCGAGGTTTCTTCGTAGATGATGTCCGGCGGGATGACTACTTCGAGGAAAGCAGCCTGCGGACAAAGAGACACTTGCGATAAGAGATTGAGATAAGATAAACAGCTTGAAGTAGCCACCAAATATTCACGTAGAGCGATTTAAATTTGATCCCTATCAAAAGGATCTCAGAAACAGTGAGAGATATAAAGTGGGATTAATATGGATGAAACTGCGTATTAACGAAAAAAGTCAAGATAAAAAAATAATATAGATGGATTCTATAACGGGATTGTATGAGAGTAAGAATATTCTTGGATGCAAATAAAGGTTCTTCCGTCTACAATATTTTTGCTAGATAACTTTCTAATTGTAAGCGGTGTAATCTATATAATAACATTGTTTTATTAATTTTTTAATCTTTTACTATTTCTTTATTATGCAACTTTGAGAACATTCTGTATAAGCGTTGCTATGCGTAGCAGCTGTCTTTTTAATCTAGAATTTGAGGCTATGTTGGACTGTGGAGTTGGAAGTTTTACCTCATTTTAATTATACAGGGTGTCCGCAAAGTTGGGGTTTTCCTTTTCAGAAACAACTACCCTTGAAATAACGAAGGCAATGTGTAGTGAAACGAGGGCGACCAAGTAAAAAAAAATAAGGGAAAAAGTACTCACTCTCCAGTTGACGAGAAGGGCTAAGTACGCCTCTGCCCGAAATCATACCGCTCCAACAGAAAATGAAATCAGCTGATGCGCTACCGAGCAGACGCCGGCGGTGATGCAGACCACGAACGGAGGTAACAAATATGACGGCGTTGCCGCGTCTTCAGTTTTTAGGTAAACGTACTTTATAGGTATTGTTCGAAGTTATCGCCGTTTGATTCAAAAACACAGGTGCATGCACGACGTAGCCAAGCATCGGTGCAGGCTTTGAGAATGGAGTCCCTCCCCGAATGAAAGCACCAGCTTGTTCAATTCTGAGACGAAGTTTGTCAACCGTATGCACTTCTGTTTTGTACACTAAGCGTTTCATTTCTCCCCGAAGAAAAAAATCACATGGTGTTAAGTCTGGAGATCGCGGAGGCCACGCTACGGGTTCATTACGTCCGATCCACCTATTCGGAAATAATTTATTCAAAACTCACGCACTTCGCGTATAAAATGGGCGGTGCGCCATCGTCCAGAAAAAACATTGGTTGTCTTACACTTAATGGCACATCTTCTAACAAGGAAGGCAAAATGTTGCGTAAAAAGTCTAGGTATTGCATCCCGTCCAATCGATTGGGAGAATAAATGGTCCAATGAGCATACCGTTCACCACTTCAAAAGGTCCGGATTATTGTCATGTTGATGCAACAACCACTCACAAAACCGCACTCTTGCTGGAAAATCGTCAGGTTGAAGGGCTTGTACACGTTGGACATGAACGGATACAGCCCCCCTTCACGCAGCGTTTGCCATACTTTAGTTTTTGATACTTGCACTTCTCTAGCCACGTCTCTAGTGCTTGTTGAGGGATTTTCGTCTACGCGATTACCTCTACACGCGTGACCGTAACCGTCGGTTGAAGGTTACATACTGACCTGACACACTGACCCCGACCCAGTTATGTCGTCGGGTTGAGCCAGTGACCTTGTGCCAGTCGGTGATGTCGCGGCTACAGGACGGTATTCAGATATTTTTGAGCCCTTTATCCCGATTCCCTTAAGACATTGGTGTACATTGTACTAAGAAAAATTGCTTATGTTTTCAAGATCTACACGTCGTGTAAAGGAAAACCCCAACTTTGCGGGCACCCTGTATACATCAATAATAGAAACTTATTTCATTGCGAACATTTCAATTTACCACCTAATCAGGTTATTTTACATCCTACCTTTAAATCGTGTCTACTAGGTAACTCAAAACATGAACATAACTATTAAAAAATAAAAATTTACGAATTTCGAAATCATTCGTATCTCAATCGTGTTTTCATACACCACAAAGTATGCCTCGATAACTTTTCTAATTTTTCTCACAGTAATAATCATTCGACAAAACCCGACACCTCCCAAATGTTTTATGGAAGTTACAGTAAGAATAACAGCAGTTTGCTGAGAAACCACCATTAATGTGATATTTGAACCCAACAAACAGCCCAATAGATTTCAATAAACGCTATAAGACATTGTAAGCAGATGTGTATATGACTATCATATAATTGAGAACATTATCGTCTCAGAAATCTCCTGAAATGCTGTTTATCGTCACAAAACCTCAACGACCCTTCCTGAAACTCGAACGTATTTCACAAGCCCACCTAGATATAATAACCCATAATAGAAAACGAATCATCCAAGGATCTCTCCTTCCCAAAATGCCATTATATTCAATAAGCAAGTAAAATTAGTTACAAATATAACAGACTGTCCAGTATACGTATGTGGAATATTTTCCCTAAAACAAAAAAAAAAACGCTGAACTGTAGATATTCAGAGTCCTTAGGGTATATCAAAGATTATGCGTACCTTGTAGTTTTGCAAATGCCTTAAAAACTAAACCGTGCCGCGTTATTGTCTTCAAAGTTTCTGCAACCTTGAACATCGCAAACTC